GGGGCTGTAATATCCTATAAGAAAGTTGCTAATGCAAAATACTGCTTCCCTGATTCCCTATTTATTCGTTAGCATCACTGCTGATTATTTGGCTGGGAAAACACTTGGGAGGTTCCTTCTGTGAGACCAAGCACTGAGGATTAGTAGATAGGAAGTGTAATATTAGAAGCAGCATTGTGAATGCCATTACCTTTCCCTAGACCGAGTTAGCTAGAGATATGTTCTTCCTGGAAAGCTTTCCTTCCCAGAGAGGGAAGGTAATAACAGAGCAGAAAACAAGGATCCGAGTGCCTCCATTTTTATCTTGTCTTTCTTATTATCTGGCTTTGTTACCTGGAACAAGTGCCTTGTGGCTGCTGAGGTGGGATCACAAGGAACCATCACAGCAGCAAAACCGGCAGTAGAAGCCAAAGGTTGACTCCTGCTCAGCAAAACCTGCTGCTTGCTCCTGCTCTGGTTTCGGTGCCTCCGGGTGTCCGGTACTACACCCCGGCACAGGGCACGCGGTGGGAAAGGGGAACAACTCACACCTGGCGCTTGGCCGGGGAGAGTCATGCTGACAGATTTGCCTAAATTCCCCGCACTCCCACCTTGTCCTGCACCTACTAGCTGGGGAGACGCTGTGCCGAAGGGCTGCCCGTTCCTCCCCACCACCCAGCAAGGCCCATCGGAGCTGGCTTTGAGTGGGGAAACACCACAGCGCCTGGGCATGGGCGTGAGCCAGCGTGTGGCACTTCATTTAACAATAGCTAAATGTCGCTTGATCCTGACATAAGCCCTCCAGCTGCCACTCACAGCTCCACATTTACCCTTTGCACACTGGGGTATTTATAGCACAGAGGTGAAGGAAACTGGAATTCCCGATGGGAGGTTTTTGACATCTAGCTAGATTATTTTTTCCACCCATGGCAATTGAATGAGACAATTGAAACGGTCTCTGCAAAATGCCTGAAGCAGCCTGGCCTCTGCTCCTGTCTCCTCGGGTGCTGAATCCTCTCGCCGCTTTTATGTAGGGCTTTGCTGGGGTCCTGGCCACTCTCAATGGCCTTGTAAGCTGCTGATGCATGTTTTTCTTCTGTGATTCTTTTAAACCTCTAAATTCCCTAAGTGCACAACAAGGGGAAATGTCTCTTCTTGCACAGCTGCACCATCCAGGAACAAACAGACAAAAGTCCACCCTTGGGTTTTGCTAGGACTCGGAGCTGCTGGTCACACAGCCAGGAGAGCCTGGCAGTGTTCGGCAGCTGCGTTTCCCCCTGCTATCCCGACAGATAGACCCTGCTATGTCTGGCACAGGGCAATCCTGCTCAGCAAGCCTCATCTCTCTAATAAGTATTGAGCCCTGGGTTTCATTTAGGATATCAACACTAATAGCTTAGAGGAGAGGGATGTAAGCCAAAGCCCTTGCTGAAATGTCATGCTGGGAGGTGAAGGTGGGGAGGTGAGGAGGATCGGAGCTGTGCGGTGCCCTCCAGGCAGTTGGGGGGTTTTTTGGTGTGAATTATTCAGGAGGAGAAGAAAGCAGCAGGAGAGAGCGAGGAGCCTGGAGCTGCAGGCAGCCTATTTTGAGGAGTCTGAACAACTGTTGAAACGGCTTCCAAATAATCCACTTGCAGCCAGAAATAAATGGCCCTGAATGGGTCGCCTGCTGATTGACAGGAGCGTGCAGGCAGGGCAGAGCAGCTAAAATCAGTGCCCTCTTTCTCCCCACCGCCCCCTTCAAGCGGAGACATTGCCTGCGTGGGCAGGAGGTAGCAGCGTGCAAATCACACCGCTGATTTATTAGAGGGAAAGGAGCACCAATCCCAATTTCCCGACCAGGCTCAAGTCTGCATCAGTCCTTGGTGTGGAGGAGATGAGGGGAGGAACCGTGAGGCAGCCGGGGATGGCGCGGCTCCAGGGTCTGTGCCATTCAGGAGCACAGAGCAAGCCCTGTACGTTTGCACCCCTCAGCATCACTTGGATTCAGCAGAGTGAGGCCAAAGCCACTTTCAAAAGCAGGTGCTTTGCTTTCAAACAAGCTGCTTTGCGACCTCACGCTGCCCGTAAGGAGCATGCTCTTCTTGTTCTCACTTGCTAAGAGCATCATGGTGACGTGCACGGACCCCTGTCCCAGCGCGGGTCCCAGCATGCAGAGCACTGTGCAGGGTTGTTATTCTAAAAGATATTCCCAGTTGTCCAGTGGTGGATTTTGCTCAGCCAGCTGCCCAGCACGATGGATATCTTCGGTGCCAGGCTCTGGCTGACTTCCCCAGACCCTAGCTGGGCTGCAATTTGCTTTGCAGACATGGCCTAGGGTTAACAAGAAGTAGAGATTTAATAATCGGTGAATAATTGAAGTGAGGGCAACATTGCTAAGAGCTGACAAGTCAGTGTGGGAGATGAGGCCGGAATGAAAGCCGAAGCCCTGAGTCACCTTGTGTGATGGTGCCAGGTAATTTTGCTGCTGTTGCGGGGCTCAGTGCAGAGAGGAGGGCTGTGAAACTGCCAGCCCTGCTCCGTGCATGAGAAACGTGTTTTTCCCATCGTGAGGGATGACAGGTAGGTCATTTGGGGATACCTGCCTTTCCCAAGGAGGCTGGGCATGCCCCGTATCTCTTGTGAAGTTGCCACGCTATTAGACACCAAAGAAGCCACATGGAAGAGTTTCCCAGCCCTTAAAAAAAAAACCAAAAACTTGGATGGGAGCTGGATCCTCTTTAGCCCCAGGATAACCCATCTGTGTGACTGCAAAAAGCTGGGCTGCAGATTTTCACTGTTTCTTTACCCTCATCTGGAGCTCCCCGCCTGCTGCTTCAGCTCTTCCCAGCCAGACAGCACGCTGTGGGGCTCAGAGCCTCCGGCTGCTCCTGGAGGAAATCCCTCCTGGAAGCAGGCTCTGGTTTGGGAGCATCTCCTCTCCCAGCCTCCAGCCTGGACCCTCCGCAGTCGTCCCCAAACCCGTTGGGGCTGTGGACATGGCTGTCAAAGGCGCGATGGTGGCGTGGAGCTGGGGTGGCCTGCCATCCCTCCGACCCCCGGGGAAGCTCCTCACACCAACCCCTCTCTCCGCAGGCCCCGAGTACCAGAAGCGGAAGCTGCTGCAGGAGATCATGGAGAACGCGGAGCACGCCGTCAACATGGAGGAGGAGGCGCCGCGGCCCGAGGGCGCCCCACCGCCCCCCACGCCCCCCGAGAGCCCCCAGCTCC